CCACTGTTTCATGTAACAATGGTTGGCGATATAGACAGAGGCCACTGTTTCAAGTAACCATGGTTGGCGATATAGACAGATGCCACTGTTTCAAGAAACAATGGTTGGCGATATAGTCAGAGGCCGCTGTTTCAAGTAAGCATGGTTGGCGATATCGACAGAGGCCACTGTTTCAAGAAACCATGGTTGGCGATATAGACAGATGCCACTGTTTAAAGTTAGCATGGTTGGCGATATCGACAGAGGCCACTGTTTCAAGAAACAATGGTTGGCGATATAGACAGATGCAACTGTTTAAAGTAACCATGGTTGGCGATATAGACAGAGGCCACTGTTTCAAGTAACCATGGTTGGTGATAAAGACAGAGGCCACTGTTTGAAGTAACCATGGTTGGCGATATCGACAGAGGCCACTGTTTCAAGTAACTATGGTTGGCGATATAGACAGAGGCCACTGTTTCAAGTAACCATGGTTGGCGATATAGACAGAGGCCACTGTTTCAAGTTACCATGGTTGGCGATATAGACAGAGGCCACTGTTTCAAGTAACCATGGTTGGCGATATAGACAGAGGCCACTGTTTCAAGTAACCATGGTTGGTGATATAGACAGAGGCCACTGTTTCAAGTAAGGCTGGAAGGCGATATAGACAGAGGCCACTGTTTCAAGTAACAATGGTTGGCGATATAGAAATAGGCCACTGTTTTAAGTAACCATGGTTGGCGATATAGACAGATGCCACTGTTTCAAGAAACAAGGGTTGGCGATATAGTCAGAGGCCGCTGTTTCAAGTAAGCATGGTTGGCGATATCGACAGAGGCCACTGTTTCAAGAAACAATGGTTGGCGATATAGACAGATGCCACTGTTTAAAGTTAGCATGGTTGGCGATATCGACAGAGGCCACTGTTTCAAGTAACCATGGTTGGTGATGTAGACAGAGGCCACTGTTTGAAGTAACCATGGTTGGCGATATCGACAGAGGCCACTGTTTCAAGTAACCATGGTTGGCGATATAGACAGAGGCCACTGTTTCAAGTAACCATGGTTGGTGATATAGACAGAGGCCACTGTTTCAAGTAAGACTGGAAGGCGATATAGACAGAGGCCGCTGTTGCAAGTAAGACTGGTTCGCGATATAGACAGAGGCCACTGTTTTAAGTAACCATGGTTGGCGATATAGTCAGAGGCCACTGTTTTAAGAAACAATGGTTGGCGATATAGACAGAGGCCACTGTTTTAAGTAACAATGGTTGGCGATATAGACAGAGGCCACTGTTTTAAGTAACTATGGTTGGCGATATAGACAGATGCCACTGTTTTAAGTAATCAAAGTTGGCGATATAGACAGAGGCCACTGTTTTAAGTAACCATGGTTGGCGATATAGACAGATGCCACTGTTTAAAGTAACCATGGTTGGCGATATAGACAGAGGCCACTGTTTCAAGTAACAATGGTTGGCGATACAGACAGAGGCCACTGTTTTAAGTAACCATCGTTGGCGATATAAACAGAGGCCACTGTTTCAAGTAACAATGGTTGGCGATATAGACAGAGGCCACTGTTTCAAGTAACCATGGTTGGCGATATAGTCAGAGGCCACTGTTTCAAGTAACCATGGTTGGCGATATAGTCAGAGGCCACTGTTTTAAGTAACAATGGTTGGCGATATAGTCAGAGGCCACTGTTTGAAGTAACCATGGTTGGCGATGTAGTCAGAGGCCATTGTTTCAAGTAACTATGGTTGGCGATATAGTCAGAGGCCACTGTTTTAAGTAACTATGGTTGGCGATATAGTCAGAGGCCACTGTTTTAAGTAACTATGGTTGGCGATATAGTCAGAGGCCACTGTTTTAAGTAACAATGGTTGGCGATATAGTCAGAGGCCACTGTTTCAAGTAACTATGGTTGGCGATATAGACAGAGGCCACTGTTTCATGTAACAATGGTTGGCGATATAGTCAGAGGCCAATGTTTCCAGTAACCGTGGGTGTCAGTTAAGGAAGACACAACTGTTTCAAGTCAAAATGGGTGTAAACTCATTTTAAGTTCACTTAAAGTCTTTCACCAATCTCGATCTAACATAGCGATAGTAAAATAGTATATTTAGACTCTGCATTGCATTTAACACTGCTATATAACGTCAGACGTGGAAGATAAAATGGGCACATCAATATCGCCCTCCATACACTATAGACAAAGGGTGGAGAGCTTCGATATTAAAGTCCAATATTTGCCCTGGTAGCATCATGGTTGTGGAGGCCGTGTCAACAGAGCGTGGCGTACGTCACTGACACCGCGTTGTATGTATGTCTGATGTCTATGATACACCCACTTCTAGACATAGTCAAAGTTGAATCTGTTCAAACTGTAAAGATACTGTGAACCCCTGTGTGTAAACACTGGAAACATCCCCTTGGTCGAGTGGCAATTGCAGCGGAAGAAAACATACACGTATTGACTGAAGACTTCAAGTGAGGGGAAAGTGATTGTGGGGGTTGAGATGGGAAGGTCGGGGTGGGGATGAGATGGTGCTGATCGACGACCCCTGTCTCCATGCTAGCCTCTGTATCATACCTGTGTCGACCATTACCAATTGTTGACTGTGAATGCGATGCGAATATCTGGGCGCAAAGGTGTTGATACTTCACTTTATGATTATACAGTAAAATACGTTTATAACGAACACGCTTATAACGAACTGACTGATATTACAAACTAATTTCTTGGTCGCGGCCATTTGCTGTATATATACTGTATATATGCTAATAACGAACTACGGTTATAACGAACTAAAATTATTGGTCCCTTTAAGTTCTTTATAACCGTAGTTTACTGTATGCTAATAACAAACTAAGGTTGTAATGAACCAAAATTAGTGGTCCCTTCGAGTTCCGTTCGAGTTCGCCGCACCATCTACTATCCCATCTGACGCCCTCTTATTTATTAGCATGTGTACAACTGTACATTCTCTCCGTACATTTTCTTAGTTGGTACACTTAGACACAGTATTATATATAAGCTCGTGCAGCACTGTAGTATGTGATATGGTATTAAACTACAGCCATAGTGACTATACATTATTGTAGTGTGTGATATGGTATTAAACCACAGCCATAGTGACTATACATTATTGTAGTGTGTGATATGGTATTAAACCACAGCCAAAGTGACTCCATACATTATTGTAGTGTGTGATATGGTATTAAACAACAGCCATAGTGACTTGACATTACTGTAGTGTGTGATATGGTATTAAACCACAGCCATAGTGACTATACATTATTGTAGTGTGTGATATGGTATTACACCACAGCCATGGCGACTCTATACCTTATTATAGTGTGTGATATGGTATTAAACCACAGACATAGTGACTATACATTATTGTAGTGTGTGATATGGTATTAAACCACAGCCATAGTGACTATACATTATTGTAGTTTGTGATATGGTATTAAAGTACAGCCATAGTGACTATACATTATTGTAGTGTGTGATATGGTATTAAAGTACAGCCATAGTGACTATACATTATTGTAGTGTGTGATATGGTATTAAAGTACAGCCATAGTGACTATACATTATTGTAGTGTGTGATATGGTATTAAACCACAGCCATAGTGACTATACATTATTGTAGTGTGTGATATGGTATTAAACCACAGCCATAGTGACTATACATTATTGTAGTGTGTGATATGGTATTAAATTACAGCCATAGTGACTATACATTATTGTAGTGTGTGATATGGTATTAACCACAGCCCTAGTGACTATACATTATTGTAGTGTGTGATATGGTATTAAACCACAGCCATAGTGACTATACATTATTGTAGTGTGTGATATGGTATTAAACCACAGCCATAGTGACTATAAATTATTGTAGTGTGTGGTATGGTATTAAACTACAGCCATAGTGACTATACATTATTGTAGTGTGTGATATGGTATTAAACCACCGCCAAAGTGACTATACATTATTGTAGTGTGTGGTATGGTATTAAACCACAGCCATAGTGACTATACATTATTGTAGTGTGTGATATGGTATTGTAGTGTGTGATATGGTATTAAATTACAGCCATAGTGACTTTACATTATTGTAGTGTGTGATATGGTATTAAACCACAGCCATAGTGACTATACATTATTGTAGTGTGTGATATGGTATTAAACCACAGCCATAGTGACTATAAATTATTGTAGTGTGTGGTATGGTATTAAACTACAGCCATAGTGACTATACATTATTGTAGTGTGTGATATGGTATTAAACCACCGCCAAAGTGACTATACATTATTGTAGTGTGTGATATGGTATTAAACCACAGCCATAGTGACTATACATTATTGTAGTGTGTGATATGGTATTGTAGTGTGTGATATGGTATTAAATTACAGCCATAGTGACTATACATTATTGTCGTGTGTGATATGGTATTAAACTACAGCCATAGTGACTATACATTATTGTAGTGTGTGATATGGTATTAACCACAGCCCTAGTGACTATACATTATTGTAGTGTGTGATATGGTATTAAACCACAGCCATAGTGACTATACATTTTTGTAGTTTGTGATATGTTGTGTGTGAACTGTTGTGGGGGTATAAAGGTGTCCAAACGCACGCTCCTTTTATGACTAGTTCAATTCAAACACATCCAATCGTGAAATACGAGCCTATGATTATTTAACACAAGTTTATTGATACTAATATTTTCATATTAACATGAGAAAGGCCTTTCTACCAAAAAGTCCATATATAGGCATGGGCACAGAGAAATATTATAGTTTACATAGATGAATATAGTATAGATCTGTGCACCGGCAATGCAAGTGAATCAAGGCTTGGAGAACCCCATAGAAACTCTATCAATATTGACACAGCAAAGAAAGCGGGACGTGGAGGAAAGGTGGCTGTATTTACGACATCTCGACTGGCTACGTCACCATCATCCTACATCGTCGTGAACAACAGAGGGTGTGCTAAAACCTATATATAGTGAAGGCCCGCGTACAGACGGCCATTTCACAGAGAGTAGAGGGAGATACAAAGTCCTACCGCCTTTCTAGTACCTGTTCCAGCTCCACCATTACTCGCTACAGAGGAGGCCACACACAGAAGCTTTGAGCTCTTCGTAAGTAATTACCTACTGCATAATTACTGGTTGTGTAACAAGTAGTTGTCGAAATAGACATTGGCCCGTAGACCCGAGGCCGACAGATTTGTTCTTGGGCTAATCGTTACGTCCTGGGTGTATTAAAGTAATTATTTATTAAGCATTATTTAAATAATTTGATAAAAATAACTTTCATATGTATAAACAGTACGATTGGGCTTTTCAAACGGTGTGTAGTCGAAAAGATGTTTTACAAGCTGTTAATTCAAGCATCTTCTTCACTATTTTAAAGCGACATGTCGGCACAGAAGCCAGTACCTTTATTTAGCAAATGGTCACGTGTTTGTCAAGTCATCACCTCCTTCGTAACACACCCATCCCTGTCTTCATATTAACATTGTTTATGATGTTTCGTGAAGCATGAACCTCGCACAGGTATAAGGATTCAGCTATAATGATACGTGTTTTAGGATTTGGGTATAAGGGTTCAGGTATAATGATACGTGTTTTAGGATTCGGGTAGGAGGATTCAGGTATAAGGGTACATGTTTTAGGATTCAGGTATAAGGGTTCAGGTACAAGGGTACGTCTTTTAGGATTCGGGTATGGGGATTCAGGTACAAGGGTCACGTGTTTTAGGATTCGGGTTTAAGGTTTCAGGTATAATGATACGTGTTTTAGGATTCAGGTAGAAGGGTTCAGGTACAAGGGTACATCTTTTAGGATTCAGGTACAAGGGTACGTGTTTTAGGATTCGGGTATGAGGATTCAGGGTCAAGTGTACGTGTTTTAGGATTCAGGTATGAGGATTCAGGTACAAGGGTACATATAACGAACTATGTTTTTGGTCCTGTCTATTTGCTGTTTATATTCCGTACATTTGCTTAAATAACGAACTACGGTTATAACGAATTAAAATAAGTGGTCCCTTTGAGTTCGTTATAACCGTAGTTTACTGTACGTTCGTCCGTCACTCACTCACTCACTCACTCTGTGCTCACACATGTGTTTCTGTATTCAGCTGAAGAGACGATGAACACCAAGTTCTTCCTCACAGCCCTCGTGGCCGTCACCCTGCCTTCGCTCTCTCTTCAGCGATGTAAGAACTTTGTCATAATAGCAGTAACGGTATCAATAGCAATGATAATAACTATAATACAAGCAATACTATTATTTAAAAGTAATCATGTTTATCATAATCAAAAGAATTATTATGTTTATGAAGACACCGCCTCCGCGATAATATTAAATTTAGCAATTGAATCGCGAAACATATTTTAATACGTTTTCATGGTATTCAAATTCCCGCCACGTGTCGCTTCTGCTCCAAATATGCCGCAAACCTGTCGGACACTGTTACATTTATGGACTGACGTCATGGCGCTGTTCAAATTACCTCCCCGTGATCTAACGTTTCCATGGTAGCATCGTTCTTTCGTTGAGTAAAGCAGTACATCCATTTTTGGTGAGATAGTTTCTGTAAACAAGAGTTCTCGTGCTTCAAATATTATTACACTACACCTGGGGGTAGAGAAAACTTTATTCTTAATATTTTTTTTCGTGCTGAATTCCAGTGGTGAGAAATTGCGGCACGTCCACCTACAGAATCGATGACCTTGTGGTAGCATCTGAATTATCAGAAAACACAGCAGCAGCAGCAGGAACCGGAGGAGTACAAAACACCGATGTCAAGTTCCGTACGTACACCGATCAGATGAGGAGCTTCTTCACCGACGCCAACAGCGCTTCAGGCAACATTAACGTCGGCGTGGTCTACTTCTCAAACCAAAACACATTCCAGTACGATAATCAACTGAGGCCTGCAATCCAGCTTGTCACTGGCTCTTTCCCTACACGACAGGCTGCAGTTGGCGCGACGCTGATCGGGGGTCTACGAGGAATTGAGGCCAATGTCAACAGCATTACCACCAGCGGGAGGCGAGTTAACTTGCCCATCATCTATGCCTCCCAGACGTCGAGACGAGACATTGAAGAGATCGCCAATATTGTTGGCCGGCTGAGACAGAGAAACGTGTACACGTATCTGTTCGCCGTCGGGTCCGCCATACGGGACAACAACCTGGACAACTTAAGAGGCAACCTGACCGCCGTGATGGGGAGAGACGTTGTCTTTACCGTCCCCGACCTCACCAACCTGGGCCAACAAATCACGACACAAGTTCTCGAGTGTGATCTTGTAATTCCCAACTCACGTGAGTAAACATTCCCTGGTTACATCAGTTGTTGTGTACGGAACTGAATCGATATTTACAATGTTTTATAGTATTCTGTTGTGCTAGGGTAATACATAGAACATTATATTCGTGTTCATGTCATACTATGTTTACGACACGAGTGTCTAAATTCCAGAAATTAGGCACGAGTGTCGTAAACATTGTATATTATTACCGAAAAAGATGTCGACACACAGAAACGAATTTTAGTGTTTACCTATAAGAACAACAGCACCGGAACCACTCTCGCTCGGGAAATACCGGAGTTAAGACACTCGTATCGTAAACTCATATACTATCCTCTGTACATCATCGTGTTCTGTACTAATACTGACCCGCGATCTGATCACTATAATGTAACTATCGTGGCTTTAGAAATGTCTACCGGTGATCTAATAACTATACACACACATAGGGAGAAGTATGTACGTTAAGAGAGATGTTTTCAATGTGTACCACTTAATGACAAGGGGCGGTCTGGTAGCCTTGTTGGTAAAGCGTTCGTTTGTCACGCTGAAGACCCGGGTTCGATTCTCGACATGGGTACAATGTGTGAAGCCCATTTTTGGTGTACCCCGCCGTGATATTGCTGGAATATTGATAAAAGCGGCGTAAAACCATACTCACTCACTCACTCACTTAATGACAAAACTAACAATCAGTCAAGTGTTACCAAACATTCTTTATTCTTATCAGGATAAGCTGTACGTGATTTCCAAACTTTACACGCTAATCCTGCATGGTACAATGATGCATCTCGAGTCATAGGTCCATGACGTCACATGTGATGCGTTCATGAGCATCGGTTCACACAACATACCAGTACGTTCATTTATGCATGGAGCCAACCTAATACCTAATATCTCTTGAATATGAGTAATTATTCATATATAAATATCAACCAACATGTATGATATTTGCATATCTTTTGTAGGTGAGTATATATTTTTATCATCCAAAACTGGCTCCCACAAGAGATATCACTCGGCTGATATCTATCACATTGTAGATATCGCTGCAATAAAATTGCATCACACTGCTTTGCAGACCATTATGACGTCATTGTTACCATGACATCAAATAAAATGACATCACTTATCCCTCTGCTACTGAAGCTGTAAGCAGTACCTTTTACACTTAACACACTGCTTACTGTTTACAAACTGAAACAGTTAGAAGAAGAATGTTGGATGATAAAATCAAATCTCACTCAACACTCGATGATAAAAGTGGGGGGGAAAACTCGGAGATTCCACTTTTATCAACTCGTGTTGATATATTTGATACCAAAACACACTCGGGTAAGATTCTCTGTGTATCCCGTTCTGCAGTGTGTTCCAACTGTATCATCGAGGAAAGCTCCGCCCTCATCCCCCACCCTGACCGATGTGACAAGTACATCCAGTGCTACATTCAGGGCAACCAGATCCTGACTGCAGAGTTCTACTGTCCCCACGGCACCCTGTACGACCGCACCCTCTTCACGTGTCAGCACGCCGACATCGTCATCAACGACCGACGCACAAAGACCGGATGTCGTGAGTAGTACTTATAAGAAAACCTGTGCTAAATGTGCGAAATCTGTCCTACCAAAAGCGCTCGTAAAATACCCAACATCCTCCTCCTCCCAATCATCTTACGTGTAAAATCCAATTATTACAATTTGTTGTTTAACGCCGCACCCAGCAATTTTCCAGCTATATGACGGCGCTCTGTAAATAATCGAGTCTGGACCAGACAACAATTATTACAATTAACTCTCAGGATGCCTATTGTGTAATTCCTATTCTTTGACTGACATTGTTATATACGTGTTACAACTACTGCTCAATAAACAGTGTTTGTGTTTATATTCAAGTTATTCAAGGTATTTCCGCTATCCCAACTGTCCATTTATAAATGCGAACAAAGACCACTCGCATTTTATTCACGCTCGCATTAATTTCAAGATTTACAGTATTTCACTAAGCTTTGTTTTTCTAGGATACACAAATTATTGATGCTGACCTTGCATTCGCACCGATCATAATATTTCCTGTGTCGGCACATCCATGTTCATGGTGCCTTTCTTATGCCACCATCTTCTCCTGATCCCTGTACAATTATAGTTCGTCTGACAGTGTGCCCGGTATATACACATTTATCATAGTATGGGCTTCACTCACTGTAGCCATGTCGGGAATCGAACCCGGGCCTTCGGCGTGACGGGCGGACGCTTTAACCACTAGGCTACCCGCCGCCCCCACTATTATCATAACACCATTCTACCTACAACCATCGTGCTATGCCTTGATTGCTTCGTGAAGACACGAGGGCAGTGTGTTTTGGATAACCTGATTCGGAAGGTGGTTCAAAGTGACAGCTGCCGTAGGAATCATTCCTCGATGAATAATAATAATAAATAATGTTCAGATTTATTATTATTTTATTTTTAAAATCCCCACCCTAAACCATTCACCTTATTACCCCGGTCAGTGGATCCGTATGCTCTCGATTAATTCTCAGCTCCCTGGGGAGTATACGCTAGTGATACTGTACATTTCCAGGTTAGAAATAATCCGTTTAGAGCTGCTGTGTAGTGACGCTTTAAAAAAAATAAATTATTGTAAATTCCTGACAGTTTATTTTATCGGATGGAAAGCCTGATATCCTTACATCAAAACTTAGGAATTCAATTTGTTATCGGACTTTGTAGCTAAAATGGAAAGAATTATCATTAAACCGCCCGCCATGTTATGAGAAATGAGCGGGCCACTGTAACTTGATACTGCCCTCAGGTATTGACCACGGGCCATTATGAGGCCGTTGTTACGTGACTTCATATGACGTTCAATAGTGACGTCATTTGGTTTGTTCTATGACGTTTCCATATTTGTAAAAGTAGTTCAGTGATATTCGTTATGTGTTGATTGCAGTAAATGTTTCAAAACCGATATTGTTTTATATTTTTATTTGATAACAAATTCCATCCATTTTATTACTGCTCCCTTACAACGTTGATTTCTCCCTGCAGAGTGGTGTTCGAATAACGGTGAGCGCCACCCCTACCAGGACAGCTGTGCCGCGTTCTGGCAATGTGGAGGCTCCTCTAGCTCAGGGACGGGCACCCTCCGGGCTCAGTGCTGTCCCCAGGGTCAGCGCTTTGACAGCTCCTCCCAAACCTGTGTGTTCGACACCACGGGATGTGACAGAACCCTCAAGCATGCCCATGCGTCTTACTGCAAGACCTACTTCCAGTGTAGAGGAGAAGAATTGGCTTCTGATTGTTGCACTGGCGGCCTCAGCTTCATCGGCAACGACACCTTCAGGGACTGCGCTTTTCAGGACGACTGTGTCGATCAGAACTGCCTCGAACCACGTAGAAACCCGAGTACGTCTTACGTTTTCCTAAACTGCTGGACCCGGGAAGATCCGGGGTAGAATAGGTCCTCAGCAATCCATGCTTGCCGTAGAAGGCGACTATGATAACGGGATCGGGTGGTCAGGCTCGCTGACTTGGTTGATGCATGTCATCGATCCCAATTGCATGGATCGGTGCTCATGATGTCAATCACTGGATTGTCTGGTCCAGTCTCGATTATTTAAATGACGGCCCTCATATAGCTGGAATATTGCTGGAATATGTACGGCGTAAGGCAACAGGGAAACTTTCTTTTGCCCGGCAGGGTATTCTGCGATTTAATACACACAGACATCAATCTATGAACCTGAAGTGTAATGAGAAGATGCAAGATTTTTTAAAAAGGGTGCAAGTCTTTCCTGTCTATGGGGGCTTGGTCGGGGTGGGGTGTTATGATATGATGTCTACACATTGGGAAGAACCCTAGCAACTTGGCCCCTCTCTAACGTGAACCCCTCTGTAACGTGAACCCCTCTGTAATGTGAACCCCTCTGTAATGTTAACCCCTCTGTAATGTGAACCCCTCAGTCATGTGAACCCCTCTGTAACGTGAACCCCTCTGTAATGTGAACCCATCTGTAACGTGAACCCCTCAGTCATGTGAACCCCTCTGTAATGTGAACCCCTTTGTAACGTGAACCCCTCAGTCATGTGAACCCCTCTGTAACGTGAACCAATCTGTAACATGAACCCCTCTGTAATGTGAACCCCTCTCTAACGTGAACCAACCTGTAACGTGAATCCCTCTGTAACGTGAGCCCCTCTGTAATTTGAACCCCTGAGTCATGTGAACCCCTCTGTTACGTGAGCCCCTCTGTAATTTGAACCCCTGAGTCATGTGAACCCCTCTGTTACGTGAACCCCTCTGTAATGTTTGACATTACATGTTATGTGAACCCCTCTGTAATGTGGACGAACTGTGTTTCAGGCTGTGACTACGAAGCTGTTGGCCAGTGTCAGTTTAGAAGGCTCAGTATCAACGCCAACTATACTGCCCAGGACTGTCCCAAAGGCCTCGGGTTCGACGTGACAACGTGTGCCTGCTCGATCTACCTTGACATAACAGTTGTCTGCCCAAACGCCGTGCTCAGCAGATATTCCGGTAAGTAAATCACAGACAAGTGGAGGAAGTAACGCAAGGGTTGATGGAGGTGCGTGTCTAGAGAGAGAGATAGATAGAGAGAGAGAGAAAAGCAAGGATTGATGGAAGTGCGCGTCTAGAGAGAGAGAGATAGAGAGAGAGAGAGAGAAAAGCAAGGATTGATGGAGGTGTGTGTCTAGAGAGAGAGAGAGAGAGAGATAGAGAGAGAGAAAAAAGCAAGGATTGATGGAGGTGCGTGTCTAGAGAGAGAGAGATAGAGAGAGAGAGAAAAAAAAGCAAGGATTGATGGAGGTGCGTGTCTAGAGAGAGAGAGATAGAGAGAGAGAGAAAAAAAGCAAGGATTGATGGAGGTGCGTGTCTAGAGAGAGAGAGAGAAAAAAAGCAAGGATTGATGGAGGTGCGTGTCTAGAGAGAGAGATAGAGAGAGAAAAAAGCAAGGGTTGATGGAGGTGCGTGTCTAGAGAGAGAGAGATAGAGATAGAGAGAGAGAAAAGCAAGGATTGATGGAGGTGCGTGTCTAGAGAGAGAGATAGAGAGAGAGAGAGAGAGAGAGAGAGAGAGAGAGAGAGAGAGAGAGAGAGAAAAGCAAGGTGAGAGAGAGAGAGAGAGAGAGAGATCCATATCATCAACTGTTTATTGTTTTATTTCCCAGAGCCTTGCCAGGATAACTTCCTCACAACAATGGCCAACTACGACGGCAGTAACGCTTATTTCGACGACGAAGCACCATGGGCCTGGAACATCAAGAACAACAACGTCACCAAAACCAATAATGGCGGGGTCTACGACGGCACTCTGTCTTACCTGTCCATCCCGCGCACCGCTGGTACTGGGGATCTAACCAAGCCGGGCATGTGGGCTCGTGTGGTCTACCAGGATGGTACGGATAACGGCCTGCCGCTGAATCAGCCTAGGGTCCTCCTTAGCAACGCCCCGTGTGAAGACTCAGTTGATTCGAATGAAGATGCATCAATCTCCATCACCACTACACCCAGCCAGGGTAGCGTCACCGTCAGGCTCGTCACCGACAGCAACACGTCGTACGACTACACCGACGATGTGCCAGCCACAGTTCAGCTAAGCTACAACACAAACACTGTGCGTTACATTCTAAAATGATAATAAGTTAGATAAAGACATTTCCTTACTCTTGATATTTGGTCTAACCGCCGTGGGGCTGCCTGGTTGGAATTGGTACCAGTGTTCTGTGCTGGTAGTAGGAGGCGAAATATTGGATTGGATGGTTTAGATCGGTGACGTGGTTAAATGCGTGTCACACCCCGACGGGGAGGCTCGATGATCACAATAATGATCACTGGATTGTTTGGTCCAAAATCGATTCCTTACAGGCCGCCGTCATATGGCTGGAATATTGCCGAGTGTGGCGTTAAACAACGCACACACACACACACACACACACACACACACACACACGCACACACACACGCACAGACACAGACATAAACACATATACACACATAGACACACCACACACACACAAATACTTTTTTATGCGGTAACAACTTAAAGGGGCAAGAAAAAACTGCTTTTGTTTTATCCTCTTTCCGGAATCAGTTCTATGCTTGTAATCAGTCTTATTCAACCTCTTAGTCTAGAATGTCTTATTATCTTTATTTGTAAAGTAAGTTGTCAGTCTGTCTGTGGGGCTCCATGTATCTTGTTGCTGTTGCAGTATGGCCCCAATGACGTCAAGACTGTGACCTATCTGTACGAGAACAACGTCCTCACTGCCAGCCTCAACATCAACGGCTTCGAGGTGGACCGAGCAACGGCCAACGGAAATGGACGTATGTACACTCCTCACCTCTTGCATGAGTTGCATCCCTTACCGTTACCTGGATCCGATAATTGCAACGATTACGATTCTTAGGTTGTTGGCGCCATTCCTGTGCCTGTTAGTTCCCCCCAAGAAGCAAACGTCTCTCCTTTGCGTAACTTTGGGCTTTCCTCCCACATTGCTATGCTGAGTGAATGTCAACGATCATTGATTGACTCACTATGCTGAGTGAATATGCTTGCTCACTTAACGTCCTTGTCAACTTAACTATTAATCGGATTTAACGTCTTAGCTCAGTGTGGTACTTTAAATCACCCATTTCCTTGCTGACTTGACCTTTCCACTATTTCAGCCATTGGAACACGCAGCTGTGGTCTCAAGGTCGGCAAGGGAGCTAACAATGAGAGATTGTTCAAGGGAGCCATTGAAAGGGTAAGCAAACATAGTTATGACTTTGTAAACAATAGACAGGAATACAATGGTTAAATATGATGACCAACAGGGATACTATGATGAACACCAGAAATACAATGATGAAATTTAGGAATACAATGATGGACACTAGGGATACAATGATAAATACTAGGTATACTATGATGAACACTAGGAATACAATGATGAAATTAGGGATACAATGATGGACTCTAGGGATACAATGATAAACACTAGGTATACTATGATGAACACTAGGAATACTATGATGAGCACCAGGAATACAATGATGAACTTAAGGGATACAATGATGGAATCTAGGGATACAATGATAATCACTAGGTATACTATGATGAACACTAGGTATACTATGATGAGCACCAGGAATACAATGATGAACTTTAGGGATACAGTGATGGACTCTAGGGATACATTGATGAACACTAGGTATACAATGATGAACACTAGGGATACAGTGATGAACACTAGGGATACAATGATGAACACTAGGGATACAATGATGAACAATAGCGATACAGTGACAAACAATAGGGCGTCAACGGTTGTTGTTTTCTGTTTGCAGGTGGAGATGCACTTTCAGTGCACCCCATTCCCAGCTGTGTAGGAATGGCGCACACCATCGTCATGCCCAAACTTGCGTCAACCTCCAACTACGTCATACTTACATTATTAATTTATCCACTGTTTTTCATGAATAAAATTTGCATTTATTTGCTTTTTTTATAAATGTTGTGTCACTATTCACTGGAAATAACATTGAAATATACGTGTGATCGTTCGTGTGCGTGTACGCGTGTGTTGGTGATCTACACACTAGAAGGGCAACATGGACATCACAATGGTTGGCACATCAGTTTGGTCAACGCTGCTTTGAATCAGACAAAATCACTTACCTCACCTCATCTCATAATGTTTCGAATGGTGTCAGTTTGGTTAACGCTGCTTTGAATCAGACAAAATCACTTACCTCACCTCATCTCATAATGTTTCGAATGGTGTCAGTTAGGTCAACGCTGCTTTGAATCAGACAAAATCACTTACCTCACCTCATCTCATAATGTTTCGAATGGTGTCAGTTTGGTTAACGCTGCTTTGAATCAGACAAAATCACTTACCTCACCTCATCTCATAATGTTTCGAATGGTGTCAGTTAGGTCAACGCTGCTTTGAATCAGACAAAATCACTTACCTCACCTCATCTCATAATGTTTCGAATGGTGTCAGTTTGGTTAACGCTGCTTTGAATCAGACAAAATCACTTACCTCACCTCATCTCATAATGTTTCGAATGGTGTCAGTTAGGTCAACGCTGCTTTGAATCAGACAAAATCACTTACCTCACCTCATCTCATAATGTTTCGAATGGTGTCAGTTTGGTTAACGCTGCTTTGAATCAGACAAAATCACTTACCTCACCTCATCTCATAATGTTTCGAATGGTGTCAGTTAGGTCAACGCTGCTTTGAATCAGACAAAATCACTTACCTCACCTCATCTCATAATGTTTCGAATGGTGTCAGTTTGGTTAACGCTGCTTTGAATCAGACAAAATCACTTACCTCACCTCATCTCATAATGTTTCGAATGGTGTCAGTTAGGTCAACGCTGCTTTGAATCAGACAAAATCACTTACCTCACCTCATCTCATAATGTTTCGAATGGTGTCAGTTTGGTTAACGCTGCTTTGAATCAGACAAAATCACTTACCTCACCTCATCTCATAATGTTTCGAATGGTGTCAGTTAGGTCAACGCTGCTTTGAATCAGACAAAATCACTTACCTCACCTCATCTCATAATGTTTCGAATGGTGTCAGTTAGGTCAACGCTGCTTTGAATCAGACAAAATCACTTACCTCACCTCATCTCATAATGTTTCGAATGGTGTCAGTTTGGTTAACGCTGCTTTGAATCAGACAAAATAAACACGTAACCTCACCGTACCTCACCTCACCTAACAATGTTTCGAATGGTGTCAGTTAGGTTAATGCTGCTTTGAATCAGACAAAATCACTTACCTCACCTCATCTCATAATGTTTCGAATGGTGTCAGTTAGGTTAACGCTGCTTTGAATCAGACAAAAAAAACCACGTAACCTCACCGTACCTCACCTCACCTAACAATGTTTCGAATGGTGTCAGTTAGGTTAATGCTGCTTTGAATCAGACAAAATCACTTACCTCACCTCATCTCATAATGTTTCGAATGGTGTCAGTTTGGTTAACGCTGCTTTGAATCAGACAAAAAAAACACGTAACCTCACCGGACCTCACCTCACCTAACAATGTTTCGAATGGTGTCAGTTAGGTTAACGCTGCTTTGAATCAGACAAAAAAAACACGTAACCTCACCGGACCTCACCTCACCTAACAATGTTTCGAATGGTGTCAAGTTAATCAGTTTTAATAAATATTCCAGGAACCACCAACAGTTTCATTATCCTTTTTTAACATCTGTGGGGGCGGTGGGTAGCCAAGTGGTTAAAGCGTTCGCTCGTCACACCGAAGACCCGGGTTCGATTCCCGACATGGGTACAATGTGTGAAGCCAATTTCTGGTGTCCCTCGCCGTGATATTGCTGGAATATTGCTAAAAGCGGCGTAAAACCATACTCACTCACTCACTCACTTCAACATCTGTGTCATTCTATTGTTTGAACGCTACATTATGTTTTAGGAATGGAGAGTTGTTTGTCAACAATACATTATCGTGAACCAACATTTGAATTAATTTCCACTTGGAGTAGACGGAACTATTTTGTACATTTATTGACTAGTGAATATTTTTTTCCGAAAACATGTGTTGCCAGCGGGGTTCGAACCCGCATCGTTTGATTTAAGAACATGTAATTGTCAACTTCAGCTACGGCGGCACATGAAGACATGGTTTGAAATTAACTATTAACTATTTTTCATTATTTTTGCATAATGCTTAAAAGCCCAAATAATATGTATATAGTTTGTGTTAGAGCAGGTTACCTACAACAATGTTCATATTTATAGCAATTAGATAAACCTTTGACGAGAAAAAACAAATTAGGTAACATATACATCCTTGTTCGGGGCTCTATATTTCCTATTATTCTCGTCAGCATGTATTGACAATGTGCAAGCGATTGATAGATACTAGTTTAGGGCCCAACGAAATTATGAAGAGCCGTGTACCATGCATTGTAAATGCCAGCACGGGACGGAGCTTGGCGCACGTGCAACAGCGGCAGAGAAGTATTTCAACGTATTCCTCGTGCATCACGCAAGGGCGACTCACGCAGTAAAAATACAGACAACAAAGAGTTCCGGTTTATTTTTCAAATATTTTCCACAACAGGTGAGGTGAAATGGGGTTTAACGTCGCGTCCAAGTTTATTGCACTTATATAGCGACGTGCATGCACGTGTGTGTGTGTGTGGCTGCTTGTACTAGTCCGGACTGATGCCGATTTATAGTGCTAGCTCACTGAAATACCATGCCGCAGTTTAACATGAATACCCCACTCAGACACCGTATACTGACTCCGAGCCGACCAGTCCTTGTTAGCCCCTTAATGCCGAGCGCCAGACAGGGTAACAACAAGTACCATCTTTTCACGTCTTTTGGTATGACCGGTCGGGGATCGAACCGGGACCTTCCGCTCTCCGGGCGGACGCTCTACCACTAGACCACGGAGACAGTCTTCCACAACAGAATATCTTGTCTAAGTGTAAAAGTAGGGATGAGTTTTAAGGAGGGGAATATCCTCGTAACTCTCTCTGCTCCATTATTTTTGAGAGTAAGGAGGACATTATTCCCCTCTACAAATAGCCCAAAATATCGTGAAACATTGCTGTCAATTGAAATCATCACCTTACAATCATTATGGATTCTGTCAAAGGATATGTTAAAACATGGGCCAACTGAGACGATGGACCTGTTGAATATCTTTAGGTTAAGTCAGTACGTGATTTTGTCATTGGTAGGATTGAAAAAGAAGAAACAGGGGTGGAATTAACCCATTCTGTCCCAGCCAGTTGGCATCTAGTCTGGCTGCCCTACCCCCACTGACAAAGCCTAAAATAACATAAGCATTATATGTGAAGATCACTTCATCAATTGTTTGATCAAAGCATTGGTATAAAGTGACATCTTCAAATATTCAGCCATGACATTGAAGACAGCGACCTGAAAATTAAGTATGAAAACATCGATCCTATCGATAACCTACGCACCGGTGTGTATAACAATGAATGCCGACAACAATTAGAAATGTGTGCGTTTGATATCAGAACAACTTCTTATCATACGTGTTCGAATCTATTTTAGAACGCACACTATTAAGTAAACCACATACCACTAATAATTAAGCAATACAGTCCTCTCCATGTCCAATATCTGCATAAAGCAGAGTCGGTTGTACAATTCCGACTATATCATGAGCATCAAATAGTAATGATACCAGGTGTTCGCGAAAAGGTGAGCGTATCCTACCCCATGGGTGGCACCCGTCACAAACACATGCAAAGGCATGTCAATTGTTCACTGAAAAACACATGGGAACATATGGTACAAGTCAAAATAGGGAATTGCATCAGACATCATTTTTGTCACTGATGCGTCAGATTTGGAAATGTCCTCCACATCTCTACAATAAAACTTTTGAGGCCTTGAATGTCGTGACCTTGATCAAACAACATCTCAGCCACTGTGTCAGGGTCACACAGGTTATCGGTTACAACAACGGGCATCTCTCAGACTCTCGTGTCATTCAATGCCGACTCATCTTCAACTAAAACGGCAGTATTCAGAATAGTTCCGTTATCAGTGATGTACCAGCAGGCACATTTCTACTCAAAGTGAGCGAGTGAATTTAACGTCACATCGACAATATTTCATCCATATCGTGACGCAGGCAATAGATAAATTGAGTCTGAATAAAAACCTGTCATCAATGGACTGTATAATAACTAGATTATCGCAGTTTCAAATTGAAACTGAGAACTTAGTGAAAATAAATTATTATTCAACAACACATATAGATTGTCAGTAACAACAGTTAGACCACCATATTAGGGACCGAGGGGACTGACCATACTTCTGAATCCTCAACAGGATTTACACAATCCCTTAAGTCGCTGGCGATTATCTAAAACTTAAGCCAAAATATAAGATGACGAATATACTACGTTTATATACTGAGTCAAATTAAAAACTTCACATTTTTAAAAGTAATCCCATATATGATATACAACGGACAAATGTATCAGAGAAGGTAATTTTTAAATCATTAATGTCCAAAGAAGGATTTTAATTAACGGTGGTAACCATAATTTGTTCCAAGCACCTACGGTATTAGGTAATAACATCAACAGTTTAAATCAATAATAAGTCCCAAGCACGAGAATCTGATGGCACACAAGTTCAGTAGCGCGTATTGCCACCATTTGCGTTGACAACTGCCACACAACGCCTCCGCATGGACCTTGTGATGCTTGTGAACACATGATTGGGAAGACGACGCCATTGTTGCAGCAAAATGGTGCCAATATCTTGCAAATTCTGTGGTTGGTTCTGGAGAGTGCGCAGACTTCTGCCAAGAGCATCCCAGACGTGTTCCATGGGATTGAGGTCGGGAGACCTTGACGGCCAGTCCTGACGTTGACTCCCGCATTCTGAAGGAAATTCCTTGTCAAAATTGCTGTGTGGGGTCTGGCATTGTCGTGTTGGAAGATCAAACCGGGTCCATGTGCTGCCAT